GTTAGTTCAGTTCCACAGATAATATGGTTGTGTGAATGTGACCTTTTTTAAAACACTATGTTAGTTCAGTTCCACAGATAATATGGTTGTGTGAATGTGACTTTTTTTAAACACTATGTTAGTTCAGTTCCACAGATAATATGGTTATCTGAACGTTACCTTTTTTTAAACACTATGTTAGTTCAGTTCCACAGATAATATGGTTGTGTGAATGTTACCTTTTTTTAAACACTATGTTAGTTCAGTTCTACAGATAATATGGTTGTGTGAATGTGACCTTTTTTAAACACTACATTAGTTCAGTTCCACAGATAATATGTTTGTGTGAATGTTACCTTTTTTTAAACACTACGTTAGTTCAGTTCCACAGATAATATGATTGTGTGAATGTTACCTTTTTTTAAACACTACGTTAGTTCAGTTCCACAGATAATATGGTTGTGTGAATGTTACTTTTTTAAACACTGCATTAGTTCAGTTCCACACGTAGTGTTTAAAAAAGGTCACATTCACACAACCATATTATCTGTGGAACTGAACTAACATAGTGTTTAAAAAAGGTACATTCACACGACCATATTATCGTGTTTTATGTATCTGCCTTGAGAAATAATGCTTCTGAGACTAAATTTTTTATAGTCTGTGTGTACTGTGTAGTTCTGATTGATCACTTTTGTTGTGATTTAAACCTTTGTCTTTCTTTGCTTTTTCTGGCCTTTACGATGTGCTGAGTACTTGTTCAAAAACACTATATAATGGAATTTTTAATCTTAGAATTATTGATAGGGCCCACCAGTTTTTAAACACAGACTCCCGAACTAATTAAACGGAATATTGCTTATGAGTCATGACTTTGAGTACAGGTTCCATAATAACATAGAAGTCCCATAAATGCACTGTAAGTTTTAAATTTACTGTATATTTTCATAGAAAATGAATAATTTTAATCTTGTGTTTTGGTTAGCTCTACTCTGAGCCTTGTAATAGGCAAAGGCATAAAATTACACAGTAATATATATGGACAGTGAAAGATATAAAAAATAAGTCTGGAATTTGAAGGCTAATAATTGTTGGCTTGGGATGAAACGAATACTTGTCATACTGTATAATCTATTCAAGCACATAATCCCAGATATTAATTCACTCAGTTTTTCAGTTTACCATCATCAATTTTTTGTGTGTATTTACTTTTATTATTGAAATAAGAAAGACTGCTCGATCTGATAAAGAGGAAAGTTGTTTGTCTTCCAGGGGAAAATATTAACGGCAGATTTATATTTTAGGGTGTTACTGACACTGAGAAAGGAATAATGTTTTCATCTCCTGGTAGCAGAAAGGACAGCCGTAAAGTTATAGCAGTGTGTAGAGGTGGGTTTTTTTTTACAAAGTACCAGTATTTGTTTTTAATTTCTTACAAGTTTTCTCAATTGGATGTACCACATAACTTTACATATTTTATTTCCCTGTCACAATTGGTATGTAGAAAAATAGATATCATCAGAGATGCTTTTGGGGTCTCATTGGGTGGGTGCAAGTAGATATTTTGGGGCTTCTGGATGCTGTGATAATTTGTCAGTTAGTGAAATAACTCGGCAGACATAGATAGAAATATACAGCTGCATTTTGAACTGCTTAACATTCAATAATTTTGTAAATTTATTTATAATTGTTAATTAGAATTTTGGGAGTTCCTTGATAATTGCCAGATGGGCAGATGTCCTCCCCCCACAAGCACTGTCCCTGTCTATCATAATTCTCATGAATAAGAAGAGTTTAATATTTAATTGAAAACATGGTCACTTTTTATAGAATAATATAAACGAAATGCAAAGAAACCCTCACATTCATCTTATTTATTGTTTTTATTATAATTTTTTTACAGTTCTTTTTAAAATTTAACAATACTCTGTAGTTTTATTGCAACAATCTTACATTCTTTGTGTAAAATTTCAACTTAGAATCTCTAAGCTTATAAAAAAAAAATCAACCCAAAACGAAACAAGGAAACAAAATTTCAGTTAATGCTAGCCATGAATTAATTTGTATATACCTTCCAGATGGGACTCGTCAGATGATTATGCTATGTTTTCTACATTAAAACAGTAATTATACTAATTATAATTGATATTGTACGTCTTGCTAGGTTCAAATGATTTTATACGTCTTCCAGATGTAAATGGTTTCCGCAGCAAAACCTTTCCTGGAACACACATATACTACGAACCTCCTTATGAATTTGATATAGATAGTGAACTGTTTAACATCTCTGGCAGCAAGCCTGTTCACTCTCGACAATCCTGTAGAGTGTGTTCCACTCTATTTCAAGACGTGACCTTGTCTACAACAAACTATCAGCCCGCTGGTCACTATGGCTACTCAGTCAGGATTCCCCAGACCACCGTATCAAATGAGAAATTACCCACTAAGCAAAATGTTCAAGAAAATAAATGCACAAGTAATTACTCGGCTAAAGATGATGGCATTTGTGACGGCAAGTGTGGTAATATTATGTGCAGCTTGAAGGTTGACTCTAGTCCAGAATGGCCACCCGATACATCTACTGGTCCTCCTCCAGTGACGGCAATAAGCAGTGGGGTTTGTGAAAGTGTAGGAAAGAATCAGTGTTGTTATACTTCTGCTCATGCTTGCACTGCCATGTCCCAGCCATCTAGTGGCTCCTACAGTAGTCGTTTCAGCAACACTTCTTGTTGCAGTTCTTGCTGTCCTCAGAGTTTCACTGACACTGATCAGCCAGCTAAAGGACCTGAGTGTGGACAGCACTCGGCAACGGTCAAGATGGAATCTTTAGCAGATTATGCATCTTCACCAGTTTCGGATCAGAGTAAAAATGATCAACCCGGACAGCTGGGAAGTCCATTAGTAAGTGTAATATCTTATTATGTGCACGTTTGCCTTACACTTCACTGTTACCTTCAGTTCGACAACTTAACTTGAGAGTTTTTAAATTTTCTTTATGGCCTAAAAATAATATGTATATTAGTTATTCAAGTTTCAGCTGTTCTTATGTGTGTTCATTCTAACATAACAAATGCACTGTCTCCTATGTTTTTTATGTTGTGACATAGAGTGTTTACAGTTACTTTTTATGATGAGGATTGGTATATCAGACAACTTTAAAAAAAAAAAGTAAGAAATTATTGACCTCACAGAGCTTATAAGTTTTGTTATTACCTTAGTTGTACAGTTTAAAAAAACTGTACAAGAAAGCATTTATGAGAAGCATTTTGGACTCAACAAAAGTTATCAATC